GTGGGCAAGGTCAGCCCCCTTCTGTGTTTTTCCCAGGGCCACCCTGCCAGAGCGTAAACAATCTGAGATGGCTGCTACTTGTGCTAGGCTTGGAGATTCCCAGGTGAAGCCAAGCTTTAAATTTAAGCTGGCTGCTGCTAGTGTCAGGCCTGGGGACATTTAGCAAGAGGTACTGGAGCTGGGGACTCACTGAGGCTGGCTCTTTGAAAAGATTTAGGAAGTTGTGAAGCAGGAGCCAAGACCAGTCACTCATATGGAAAAGCAGTTTGTGTGGCCCCATAAGTTTTTGGGGCAGAGTCTCTGGGGATCTACAAGGCAGGACAAATAATGTTATCTGGGTTGATGGAGTCTCAGATATAGCACCAGCCTGCTGGCTCTGTGGCTCTGGGTGGGGAGGGTTCAGAAAAGGGACAATGGCCTCTGCTTGTCTTGATGCCAGACACTTCAGTTTCTCCCTTATGCTGCTGGTGCCTTTCAATATGCTACCCTGGTGCTAGAGCTCACAGGGAGTGAGTCTGAGTAAGTCCATGTGTGGGTTCTTTAAGAGAAACTATTTGAGACTCCAGAAGTTTCCTCCATTGACTCAACCTCTGCTGGGTTTTGCAGCCAGAAGTTCTGAGGACTTATCTTCCTGGCACTGGAGAGTCTGGTGTGGGGCTGGGACTCCTTGCTACTAAGATCTCCCTGCCAAATTTTTATCCAACACACATGGGTGTGGGATCAATCCATTCTGTGTCTCTTCCCCTCCTACCAGTCTGAATGGATGTGGTTTCTTTAATTTTGTGGTTGTCGGACTTTCATTCAACTCAATTTCTGATGGTTCTGAGTGATGGCTGTTCTATATTTTAGCTGTAATTTTGATACAGTTGTGTAAGGAGGCAAGCCATTTCTGACTACACTGCCATCTTGACCAGAAGCTCTCAATAATTGTTTTAAATGTAAATGGATAAAACGTTTCAATCAAAACAGGAATAGATATATACAATGGAATATTACTTAGTCATAAAAAAGAATAAAATATTACCATTTGTGACAACATGGATGTGCCTGAGGATATTAAGCTAAGTGAAATAAGTCAGACAGAGAAAGATAAATACCATATGATTTCACTTATACATGAAATCTAAGATTAAGAAGTACAAACTGGCAGTTACAAAATAGTCACAAGGGTATCATGTACAGCTTAGGAAATACAGTCAATAATATTGTGATAACCATGTATGGTATCAGGTGGGGACAAGACTTACCAGGGGGCTATCATTTCATAAGTTTTATAAAAGTCTCACCACTATATTGTACACCTGAATCTGATATAATATTTAGTATCAACCATAATTAAAATGAAAGAAAATAATTTTTAAAGGCTGATGGGATTTTTTAAAATCCTCACTGAGGATATGTTTATTAATCCAGAGAGAGGGGAAGGAAGGGAGAAAGAGAAACATCAATCTGAGAGAGAAACATCAGTTGGCTGCCCTCTCCGTGTAAGTGCCCTGGGACAATGCTCCAACCAGCTGAGCCCCCTGGTCAGGCCCAAAAAGTGCTTTTATAGAATTAACTTGCTCTGGCCAGTGTGGCTCAGTTGGTTGAAGCATCATCCCATAGACAAAAGATTGAAGGTTCAATTCCTGGTCAGGGCACACACCTAGGTTGCGGGTTTGATCTCCAGTCTCAGTGCAAATGATACATGGTTGGGTGCCTACTGGAGGCAACCATTCAATGCTTTTCTCTTGCATCAATATTTCCCTCTGGCAACAAATCAATGCTTCTCTCACTTCCTTCCTGTCTCTCTAAAAAAGCACTGAAGCCCTAGCTGGCATAGCTCAGTGGATTGAGCGTGGGCTGCAAACCAAAGTATCGCAGGTTCGATTCCCAGTCAGGGCACATGCCTGGATTGCAGGCCACAGTCCCCAGCAACCGCACATTGATGTTTCTCTCTCTCTCTCTTTCTCCCTCCCTTCCCTCTCTAAAAAATAAATAAATAAAAATCTAAAAAAAAAAAAAAGATTTTATTTTGGGAATCGAACCTGCGATACTTTGGTTTGCAGCCCGCGCTCAATCCACTGAGCTACACCAGCCAGGGCAAAAATAAAATCTTTAAAAAATAAAATAAAATAAATTAAAAAGCACTGAAAAATATCCTCAGGTAAGGATAAAAAAAAAATTAACTTACCCCCTGGCTTGTGTGGCTCAGTGGATTGAGTTCCAGCCTGCAAACCAAAGGGTCACTCATTCAGTACCTAGTTAGGTCACATACCTGGGTTTCAGGCCAGATCCCCAGTAGGAGGCACACAAGAGTCAACTACATTTTGATGTTTCTCTCCCTCTCTTTTTCCCTTCCTTCCCCTCTCCCTAAAAATAAATAATTTTTTAAAAATTTAACTTAAAAAAAAGTTTACCTTAACCAAGACATGAAATACTTGTACAATGAAAACTACAAAATGTCACTGAAAGACATTTAAAACAGACAAATAAATGGAAAAACACCCTTTGTTTATGTACTGAAAGACTTAATATTATTAAGATATCAATACTACACAAAGCAATCTACAGATTCAATGTGATCCCTTTCAAAATCCCAATAATGTTTTTTGCAGAAATAGAAAAAAATCATCCCAAGTTCATATGTAATCTTAAGAGGCCATGAATAGGAGAGTCTTCAACAAATGGTTCTGGGAAAACTGGATATACACATGCAAAAGAATGAAGTTGGACCCTTATCTAATACCACATACAAAAATGAAATAAAAATGTATCAAAGACCTAAAAGTATAGAACTTAGAAGAAAACATAAGGCAAAAACTTTACAACATTGTATTTGGCAATGATTTCTTGGAATTGACACCAAAAGCACAAGCAACAACAAAAAAAAATAGACAAAATGAACTTCATGAAAATTAAACCTGAAAATACCCAGAATATATAGAGACCTAAAACTCAACAATGAAAATAAAAAACAATTCAAAATGGGCAAAGAACTTGCATAGACCTTTCTGCAAAGAATATAAGTATATGACATGATACTTGACATCAGTAATCATAGGGAAATGCAAATCAAAACTATAATGAGCCCTGGCCAGATAACTCAGTTGGTTGGAGCACCATCCTGATATGCTAAGGTTATGGGTTCAATCCCTGGTCAGAGCACATACAAGAAACAACCAATGAATGCATAAATAAGTGAAACAACAAATCAATCCTTCTCTCTCTCTCTCTAAAATCAATGAATTAAAAATTTTAATTAAAAGAATGATTTAGATGAATCTGAACAGACATCTCTCCCAAGAAGACATACAAATGGCCAACAGATACATAAAAATGTTCAATTTCACTAGCTATTAGGGAAATGCAAATCACAACTACAATGAGATGCCACTTCATACCTGTTAGAATGGCTATTATCTACAAGACAGGTAATAACAAATCTTGGAGAGGCTGCAGAGAAAAAGGAACCCTCATTCACTGCTGGTGAGAATATAGACTGGTATAGCCACAATGGAAAACAGTATGGTGGTTCCTCAAAACATTAAGAATAGAGTTACAATATGATCTAGCTATCCCTCTTCTGGGTATCTACCTGAAAAACTTGAAAACATTTATTTGCAAAGATATATGCACCTCTATGTTCATTGTAGCATTATTCACCATGGCCAAGGCATGGAGACAACCACAGTATCCTCCTATAGAGGATTAGATAAAGAAGATGTGATATATATACACAACGGATACTGCTCAGCCATAAAAAAGATGAAATACTGCCATTTTCGACAACATATTATGCTAAGAGAAATGTCAGTCAGAAAAAGCTAAGAACCATATGATTTCACTCATATGTGGGATATAAACTGACAGATATATAGACACAGACAGACAACAGCATGGTGGTTACCAGAGGGAAAGGGTAGAGGAGGTATTAAAGTGTAAAGGGGCCAAATATATGGTGACTCAGTAAGACAATCTGACATTGGGTGGTGGGAACGTAATGCAATACACAGATCAAGTACCATAGAAATGTACACCTGAAACCTATATAACCGTATGAACCAATGTTACCCCAATAAATGTAATTACAAATGGTTATAATGGTAAATTTTATGTGATGTATAATTTATCACAATTTTTTTAATTGGGGAAAAAACATAATACAAATTCACACCAAATCTGATTGCAAAAATGGTAAAGGCTGACAAAGCCAGGTATTGGTATGTATGTTTCTTACACTGATGATAGGAATGTAAATTGATACAATCTTTATATAGGGCAATTTGATAATAATGTAGTGAAGCTGAATTTGCATCTTGGCAATTCCATGTCTGTATAGAGATCCTGAAGAAACTATTGCACATGAATAAGGAGAGATACACAAAGTTGTTCACTACAGCACTATCCTTTAGAGCCTCATAATGCAAGCTCCAAATTGCAGTCAATTAGAAATAGATCTATATCCCAATTAACAGCCAAGATAAATTAGATCTTCAAATTTAGAGGGAAATATATCAAATATACAATTTTAAGCAAAAAAGCAAATTGCATAATGATTGTACATTACAGCACTGTTTGTGTAAATGTTTAAACCATGCATTACTTTGGGATGCCTGCATAGGCAGTAAAAATGCAAAAATATAGAAGCCGTTATCTTTGGGGAAGGAAAGAAATGAGATCAGGATGGAGTACAAAAGAGGAGTATGTCTGTATGGGACATTTACGTTAATCTGAGTGGTGAGTACATGGGTGTTTATTAGTATTTCTATATATTTGTTAGATGTTTGATACATTTCACTAAAACAAAGAGGATGCAGAACATTAGTGTTCCAGGAACTTCTAGATTTAATCTGGGATGATTTCCAAGTCATGTTGCATGAGTAGCAGCATTTTAAGCTATGCTTAATAAGTTTAACAGATTTCTAAAGTCATTTATCCCCCCACCCCCAAAAGTTTGTTGATTCATCAAAAATAATGTTTGAAAGATGTTATCTACAAATTTTTTAAAAAGTACTTACCCAATAAACAGAGATAGTTGGTTTCAGTCAATCTGGATAGTTTTGTGACCTGATTCAAGATGTTGTAAAGCTCTATTGGTTCACATAAAACCAAACCATCCATCCTATTGGGAAGAAGCAATAATGTAAAGCTTCTATTTTATTTTAAATGAATGGTCAAAAAGTAAGATATTGAGTTAAACTCTTTCTTAACACATCTTCAAGCAAAGATAAGAGTAACCATGAACATGAGCAGGAAAGCTTCAAAATTTTGTAGCAAAACATGTGTAGAGAATAAAATATTGAACACAACATATGAAGCATGTAAATAACAAGTAGGCTGTAAAATAGTCACCAATTCATTTGTTCTTTGAGCATATAGTTACTGAGCACCTACTATATACCAGGCACTGAAAATTGTGGTAAACTAAACCTACCTTCATGAAGGTTACAGTCCAGCACGGAATGCAGACATTGGACAAAAAAAAATACCAGTAGGAAAAGCACTATAAAAAAGTCAATGTCCCATGTAGGAGGAAGGCCTAACCTAGTCGGGGGGGAGGGGGGTCAGAGAAGGGCTGTCTGAGATGTGATTGCTAAACTAAGGTAGGAGGCTAGGCAACACTTAGCCAAGTGAAAGAGGGAAAAAGGGTGAAAAAGAAGGCAAGAGCATTCATACCTTGTTGGGAACCATCCTGCCTGGTTTCAGGAGCTGTAAACCTGCCAACAGGTGAAAAGACCCCACGCCTAGGGAACCTTGGGACCATAAGCCACTGAGGAGACAAAACTTATCCTTCTGGCCAGGGTAAAGCCTCTGCCCCATTTTACTTCACCCTGCCTGGCTCCTGAGGATGGCTGGATCGTCAATGACAGGCAAGATTCCTCAAGAAAGGAACAACCTAAGACAGACACAGTTGTGAAGGGGCCATCAGGGAAGGACTTAGGGGATTGCAGAGAAGAGACAAAAAACCCTCACCCCTCAGCTTTATCATAGCCTGAGTCCTCATTCTATCTCTAAAAAGTCTCCTAATCTCTTGGCTTCCTTGCTTCCCCTGCCTGATTCAGGCCTGAAACAATGCTGAAGACGGGTGCAGCCCTGTGCCAGAACTGGCGGTTCCTAGCAAGGGGCAGTCAGGCCTAAGAAACAATGCATAAAATCCTGTGAAAACTGCTTTGCTAAGAATGTCCTCAATTTAAATGTTAAGGATCCAAGCAGAAAATAAGTTTGTTTCCCAAGGTTTTATAGCCAACTGGCATCACCCTGTCTATCAGACCCTGACTCAAAAGGACCCCCGTGATCCCAGAAATGTTATCTGTAAACCACACCTCCTTTCTTCAATATGCATCCCTTTGCAAGCTAAACTCAATAAAGCCCATTGAGAGAAAGGCTAAATACCTTTCTCCTCTGAGAGACTGGTCAGCCTTTCCTCCCCAAGCAGATCATGTCTTGGAAGACATATTCTCATCCACAGCAGCCAATACCTGAGAGAGTTCAAAGAGCCTGGTATGGCAAGAGCAGAGAGTGATAAGGGAAGATCCTAGGGAGGCTTGTGATAAAGATCATAAAGGTCACTGTTGGGTGGAGAATTGCTGATGTGGTTTAACAGAACTTCCCAGCCAACTCGGGCTCTGGCTCCAAACTGCAGGGCTGTACTTGAGATACTGGTTCCTGAGCATGACTGTCTCTGGTGCTTCAAGGACACTGAAGGAGAAGGGCTGGGCCTGTGCAGCAACTCCCTACAGAGAAGTCTCCTTTTAGCAGGGGTGGGGGCTGCATGGAGCTGCGCAGTCCCAGCAGGGGACAGGTGGAGAATTTGAATCCAGGGCTAGATAATCTTGATCAAAAACATTTAGGGTTCACTTCAGAGTTACTAGTATGGTGCTCCAGGGAAAGGCCAAATCCTGGACATGGTCCCCTGGATCATGTCTCACCTTCTCAAGGACGTGGCTCTCAGCTTCCCCTCCATCAATTTCAGCCTCTACATGGACCATTCCTAACAACACACAAATATCTTCTGTACCTATCTTTGTTCTCCTTTACAGCAAGACTTCTCAAAAGGGTGGTGTTGACTCACTGCCTCCATTTCCTCACCTCCAAACTGTTTAGGTCCTAATTCCAGCTGTGCCACTTATTATGGGCTGCCTTATAGGGAGTAATTAGCCTCCATGTGCCTCAGTTTGCACCTCTGTAAAATGGAGTAACGTTAGCATTACTGTTACAGAACAGAACAAGAGGGGCCTGGACCATATACTATTATTGAAAGAAGGCTCCGGGTCCGTTATGTCCGCTGCCAGAGGAAAGACATCTCTCAATGCCAGAGATTCGTGAAAAGGAAAGGAAATGTTTATTTAATGCTATTCAAACTTAAAGTAGTGACCTAATGTCTGTATCAAAAATCCCAAAGTCCCCCAAAACACCCACAAACAGACACAGTCCTTCCTTCCTTCCCCCTTTGCCCAGTCCAGAATACCGTATCTCAGGGGAGGAAAACGAAGTCCATGGCTCAGACAGTCCTCTGGTTCTTAGTTAGTCCTCCTTCTCGACTGGGAGACCTCCCTGGGTTCCCGGCACCCTCGGCTGAGTCGCCAGGATCTCTGCTAAAACCAGGTGGTGGTTCCCCCTTCTAAAGCTGCAAGGGTCCCCACTCTGTCCAGGCCTCATGGTTCTCCCTCTCAGGGCTGCGGGAAGGGGAGAGTCCCCACTCTGTCCAGGCCTCATGGTTCTCCCTCTCAGGGCTGCGGGAAGGGGAGAGTCCCCACTCTGTCCAGGCTGCGTGGTTCTCTCTCCTAAAGCAGCACGGTTCTTCCTCCTCTCAATGGCTGAGGTCCTCCCTATTCTGCTAAAGCCACATGGTTCTCTCTCTCAGGGCTGCGGGAAGGGAGAGTCCTCACTCTGCCAAAGCCACGTGGTTCTCTCTCCTATGGCTGCGGGAAGAGAGAGTCCTCACTCTGCCAAAGCCACGTGGTTCTCTTTTTTATGGCTACCAAGTCTGGGTTTTAAATCCCCGCGGCCAATCTTCCTCTGCAGCCTCATTTCCGACTCCTCCCACACTCAGCTTCACTTGCCAGAATTCGTATCCTTCCAGGTTTACTGAGCTGCCATCATGAGTCTGGGCAGGTGTGGCCCCATGTCCTGGAGCCAATCTTCTCCAAGCTCCCACGCAGGCGCTGTAGCTTGGGGGATCTGCCCCCAGGCACGTGTTGGTGGGGAAGTGACTTCCATTCCCCTGGCTCAGAGATGATCACAGCTATTTAACATATCTAAGCGACCAGCCAAAGGCTATAGATTATGTTAAATGACCACGCCAGAGGGTAGCTGCAAGGCTGTTGCTATGCAAAAAGCTCTCAATGGCCTTGCTCCATTTGTTCCTTCTCCCATCCCACACCCTGGGGGGGGGGGGGAGTCTCCTGGACACCTTAAGTTCTGGACCCCATTTCAAATGCCCATTTGGGGTCCCCCCTCTTGGCTGCACCCTGTAACATTACCACTTCTATAAAATCAGCATAATAGAACCTACCTGTTGTGTGTGGGTTAGTGAAATTGATGGGGGAAGTCAAGAGACAGAAGAAAAATTTTAGTTTTAAGTTATAGTTATTAAGGTTAGTAATTAATGTATGTAAAAAGCTATTGTTTCAGCACCAATCCAAAAGAACCTATGTACCCCAATGTTCATAGCAACACAATTTACAATAGCTAAGTGCTGGAAACAACCTAGGTGTCCATCAGTAAATGAATGGATCAAAAAACTATGGTACATTTACACAATGGAATTCTGTGCAGCAGAAAGAAAGAAGGAATCTCCTACCCTTTGCAACAGCATGGGTGGAATTGGAGAGCATTATGCTGAGCGAAATAAGGCAGGCAGTGAAAGACAAATGCCATATGATCTCACCTTTAACAGGAACCTAAACAACAAAACAAACAAACAAGCAAAATATAACCAAAGACACTGAAACAGAGAACAGGCTGACAGTGACCAGAAGGGAGAAGGGAGGGAATTTCAGGGGAAAAGGGGGTTTACAGGAACAAGTATAAAGGACACGGACAAAAACTAAGGGGGGGGGTGGGAATGGGAGGGAGGTGGGGAGAACTGAGGGGGGTGGGCTGGGATGGGAGTAAAGGGCAGAAAACTGTACTTGAACAACAATTAAAGTAAATTTTTTTTAAAAGAAGGTTTGACCCACTCTGACTCCTGGAGGCCTCAAGCAATTCAACCTTTGTGTCCAGGAGGACTGCAAGCAATCAAGATGATATCTGAGCCATTGTGCTTCAGGGAGAGACAGAGAGAGGTCAAAAGTCGCTGGTCCACAAGGTCAACAGATGAAAGAATGCTGGGAAAAAATGCAATAAAAGCTCTCATTGACTGCAGCTTTTATCTGATTAACCTTTTCCCTGAATTCCAAAACTACCAACTTTTTTCCTAAATTCCAAACCTCTTACTTACACTTTTCTTCTCCTTGTTAAAAGTGTTGATTTGAAATGAAATGTAACACAGTCTTTCAGAGTACATAACCTACCATCTTCTCAGATGACCAGCCATCTGAATAAAGCACCCATCAAGATTCAATCCCTGTCTCTATGTACTGGTTCTGGTGGTGATAAGCAGCATGAACACTGACTTTTCTGGTTTCAAAATTATATGCAAGGCATTCTGAGCAGGGAGGAGATAAATGCTCAGTAAGCGTTGGCTCTTGATACAAGCTTTTTCCCTAGAGCTTCTAACCCTATCAAACCACAAAAACTTCTATCAAGGTCATCAATAGTGCCTATCTTGCTTAATCCATTAGTCACTTCTCTCTGTGCTCAAACGTTGGAGTCTCTTACCTGCATTTAACCCAGTTGAGCATTCCTCCTTCCCCAGCCCTCTCCACTTTCAGAACTACCACCCCCACACACACTATCCAGGCTTCCCTCCCACCTCTCAGACTGTTTCTGCTGTCTTCTTCGCAGGAGGCTCTCTCTTCACATAAGAATGCCTTTGGGCATAGCTATTTTTCTTCTCTATATTCTCACTCTAGGACAGGGATTCTCAAACTCAGCAACATTGACATTTGGTGCCAGATAATCCTCTGTAGTGAGGGCTGACCTGAGCATCCCGGCCTCCACCCAGTGGTTGCAAGCAGC